GAAATATTCCCTAGTGCTTGATGACCACTATAATCTAAAGTAATAAACACATACTGTTCATTACAATGCATAAACTAAACTATGAACTGCACCACAGTAGATGTTTGACATGTCGACTGTCTGCTGAATGTGACATCCACAGGCAGGGCAGAGCGGAGGGGGAGGTGAAGAGAGGAAAATATTTATGAAGTGGATCGCTCTGGTATATGTAACACCTCTCTTTAGTCTATTGTCACTTTCTAAACTTGTTCCTGATGTCAGCCTCCTCTTTCACCCAAGGGGTGAAATAGCAAGGATGAGAGAGTGTCTGTATGTGTGTGAGAGAGAAAGAGCGAGAGAAAGAGAGGAAGAGGGAAAGTGAGAGAGATATGACGGTGTGGGAAAAAGGCAGCGCCGGGCTAACGGTTTCCTCTGGCTTCAGATGGAAACAGGCATTTGGCCAAATGACTTCATTCCAGCCAGCGTTTCACATCCCAGCATCTCTCCTGGCCTTGAGTCACAAAACACATCATCACTCCACTTACCAAGTTCAGTAATTGTGGATAGGCCTTTGCACAATCTAGCATAGTGCTATAGTATATACAAGCACATGTGGGCTCAGTAGACAGATGGCAAACAGGCAGAAAATAACACATCTCCTGATCTCCTTGTCCTTTTTTGGGCACTTATTTCCCAGTATAGTCAAAGTGCTACAACCTCCGACTCTTCAGCCCTTTGCTTGAAATGTTGGTGATCCACGATGTGAAGGTTATTCTACCACTGATCCCAAAGGAAATCATGCTGCGTGAAACCAAGTGTTCTGGTGTTTAAAACACCAGAGGACCTAGATTCAATTCTGCAACATGCTGAAATTTTCTACAGCAAAAACTGTGTCCTTCAGTTCCACTTGTGCACCTTTCTGTAGTTGTCTTTGACCTCCGACCTCAACAGAATTTTCAATAGACTTTTAATAGAACGGAGCACCTCATAAGTTTCTTAAAATCTAAAACAAGATCCACGATAAATCCTGTGCCACAGTGGGGTCATTGTCTGAAAGGTGATGTGTGTGCTTTTAATTGAAGTGTTTTGGAAGTTGAATTCAGTGCACTTCCAAAGTGCAACAGAGAATAGCTTTGCCCTCAGGTCTGCCACCAGCCACCCTCAGGGATCAAATGGTGTATAAATACCTGGCTGGAAACAGTCATTCAGTCAGCCATGGCATCCTTCAATGCTGCGGAACCTCTCTGGCTGCCTGCCTGTTCAGAAACGAGGCAGTGCTCCAAGTCTTGCCTGCCCCGGCGTACACACGCTAGCCCGCCTTTTTATTTTTAAACCAGATGTGTTTTTACTGGGTACAGTTTAGATTCCCCCGACACTACAAATATGCACTGGGCTGTTCTGAATCCAGGGTACCAGCTTTCAGAGGGGGGGGGGGGATCAGTTCCTCGCTCCCTGGCTGACTGACCAACTTTGGCTGACTGGTTGAATAAGTGGCTGCCAAACTGGCTGACACCTTGTGCCTCTTGGTTTGTATTGGACAAAACACATTTACCACCTCATTGATCTTACTACATTTCAAACCCTAATTTTTCCTTTTTTCCGTGGTGCTTCTGTCAGCACAGAAGCTTTGTCTGTTTTCAATGTGCACAGACCTTTCACCTCCTGTGACCGAACCTAACCCGGACATCATGTCTTATTCTTCTAACTTCTTTTTGTCTGAGCCTTGTATCCATGCTTTAGTAGCAATAGCAAAGCTTGTACAGTTCCTAATACAGCTCCTTTAAGTAAATCACTGATTTTGTAGCAGCTTCAGGGATTCTCTGTAACTGGCATCACTGAACTGAGTTATGATTTGAAATAAGTTGATGCTGTGATTGAAATTGTAGAGGCTGCTGGTTTGTATAGAGTGAGCTGTATTCTTTCATTCTTCATTCATGTGACCACCATTCCCATTCATCCTTTCACCAAATCATTTGACCTGCAGCACACTGCCAAAATAAAGGGTTAATAGCATGTACTTCCACATATGTACATCCACTCCGAGGGACAAGTATCCACTTCATATCCCATTATGCTAAGGGTTCAGCCCATTTTATAATCATTGCCAAAACACACAAAGGCAGTTCTGGTGGTTCACAGTGGGTAAACAGTCTATTAAAATACTTAAAGCTGCTGTTTCCTTTACTTTGGCTTTAGTCTGTGTTTTACTCAGAATCCTTTGTTTCTGCTCTCCTCTGAGGTCAAGCCTAGTAGCCTTTTATAATTTGTTGCAATCACTGGCAATCATTTCACTTTTGCTTAGAACCTGTGCATGCATTTATGTGTGTGTGTTCATCTGTGTTTGTGTGTTGTGTCTGTGTACTAGCGCCCTCTGTGACCAGCTAATCTTTCCTCGTCAGCGTGTTTGTTCTCTCTCAGCGGGCTCTGTTTGATATCTGAACACAGCTGTGAGAAAAGAAAAAGCCTGTGTGTGCTGTCTGTGCATGCAACTGTGTGTGTGGGATTTTGTTGTGTGCACGTG